AAAAAAGGTCCTATATCGCGATTTTCTTGTGAAACCAGATCACAGTTTAATTCATGCAAACTTTTTCTTACATTATTCTTTTGTTCCTTAAAGATATAATGAAGCTTCAAGTATTTTTTGCTATAACTTTTTCCTCCAATTGACATAATTCAATTTTCCTTTGCAATGGGAGCTACCTGGGCGACTGAGAGGATTACACACACATACTGCTTTATTCACTAAACACTGTATTTGTTATCACGGGTTAAATAAAGCAGCTAACGTGTGAAGAGCAGAGTCTTTAAGGGGCTGAGTCTGGGGCAGGCAGCTGTTGTAGCTCCTCTGGGACAGATTTCACAGAAGTTTCAGAAAATGCTGTGATTGTCACTTTTGTTTTTGACGACGCAGCTCTCTCCTGCACTTTCAGAGTCAGTGCCTTCTGCTGTAAACTGTATGGGAAAAAAAACCTATGCACATTTCCCTAAGTTGAGTGATGTTGACCAAAATAATCTGATTTAGTTTTGTTTCTCGTAGCAAAATATTCTGCTAGAAGTGGAAGAAAACTGCAGAGATGGATACAAGGACCCTGGAAGGAAGTTGACCTAAAGCTGCCCTCTGTAACTTTTTTGACAGAGGGTCACTGTTGTGCATGAAGCTTTCACTGAACACGTTCATATTAGGGCTGGGTATCATTAAGAAATTGCCAATACGATACATACCTCGATACATAGTCCACAATACGATACATATCTCGATACGTAGGCCACAATACGATACATATCTCGATACGTAGGCCACGATACGATACATATCTTGATACATAGGCCACGATACGATACATACCTCGATACAGTGAGCTTTTGATTCGATACGATATATTTCAAATTGATTCGATATGGTTCAATAAAAAATAAAGCCTAAATCATGGCTGTGACACTAAAAGTCTTTGTTAAACCACTTCTTGTGCAAAGTTCATTAGAAACGCAAACAGTTTAATCATCCAAACAGTGAAAATGTCAAATGCGTCGCATATACGAGTTTCCTTTCTCTAAACAAGCAACAAAACTGTGGCACTGTAACAAAATTATTTAGTTAAAAATATACCATAAAATACTCTTTGGCAATATATCGATCCAGCAGCCCACGATATCTATACTGTATCATCATATTAAACGATTTCGATAATTTCAATATTTTTGCACACCCCTAGTTCATATTTCAGTGAACTTTGAACTGAACCCAACACATTTGTAAATCAAGAACTTGAACAACAACAAGTTGTTGCTGGAAGTCAGTTTGAAAAATAAGTTCAGCCTTTACATATCTCACCAAACTAAAACGAACTAAACTTTGAACTCGTCCAAAATAAAAACTGTGAACAATCAACGTGAATTGAACTCTGAACTAGTTTATGAAAAGTGTGAACTTGCACAACACTGCTGAGCGTCCACCTCTTCCTGTTCTCTCTGGAGATGTTGCTGCTTTGTCTGAAATGTTCCACAGTTTGGCATTAAACTTATTTTACTCCATGGATCGACAAGCATGTGAAGCCACCATGCCAAGTTTATAAGTCACACATGAGTACAAATGTTAAAAATACTGACTTTTTCTTTCTGAACTAAAATTTTATGTCATTGTTTGTATATTTTAGGATGTCTGTGTTTACTGAAGTCAGAACAAACTGAAGAGAGAAGATAAACAGAGGGTCAAAGGGCCGGAGTGGCGTGTTTCGTGATCGAAGTTCAGAATGTGGTGAGACCTGCCTGGGCGGACTGGAGATACGGAGATAAAAATAAAACATGATGAAAAGTTCAAACTCGAAAAACAATACAAACGAAAATGCTTTATACTTGATTGTCTTTTCATTTTTCACAATTTAATGTCATTTTCTACAAAGAATAATAGTTGTCTCTATGCATTAGTTTCAAAAGGGTGAAAAATGAGGACCGTTGCCATAGCGATTAGCAACTGAGAACAAAATATTACATCTTTTGAATGAAATAAATGAAAAATAAATAATGTGGTCTCAGAAAACATCCATAACTCCCCTATTTTTGCACTGATACCTCCTCAAATCAGTTTCAACACGAGTTTAAGACCTGATTAAGTATTTATTCTTCGACCACTTGACCTTAAACCTGTACTTGCTGAATATTGTGTTCACTTTTGGCTTTTCCCCACCGTGTTGGACTGGGCTCTGTCTGTCAGGGGCCGGGGGTCAGAGCATAGGCCTCCCTTTGTTTTGGGGGCAGCTCTGATTCAAACCTGCTGTTGAGAATCACATGACTGCGTTCACAGAGCAACATGCGACTCTGCACCGGACGAACCCGGACAATGCAAACGAACGGACTTTAAAAGGTGCATTGTGTAACTTTGTGTAACTTTCTGCCTTAAATGGGAACTACTGTATTTTTTCGGGATGACAAGTCCCACTTTTTTTCATGGTTTGGGTGTTTCCTGCGACTTATACTCCGACTTATATATTAAAATGCTCACACTGACAGCCACGAGAGGCTCTAGTCTTGTGTGTCAGTATCTGCTGCTCCTGTTCCTCCTGTACCACTGTCACTTCACTCTACTGTGCATGTCTCCTGCAGAAAGAGCCTCTGTCCTGTTGCAAGTAGTGAAATATTCAGTCGAAAATGATAGTCGAGCAGCAGAAAGAAAGTTTGGAGTGAGCGAGAAACTTGTGACACCGGGAGGATGCACCATGCGGGGTCTTAAAAGTCTTAAAAAGGTCTTAAATTTCATGTTCCTAAATTAAAGCCTTAAAAAGTCTTAAATTTAGTTGCCCAAGTGTTATTTTTTTCACAAAGGCCTTAAAATTCATTAGCCTATTTTTTTGTATACTCCACCAGGCTACAGTGCAATCTTAAATAGAGGGGGAAAAAAAAACAACAGCATGAAATCGCATAATGTGAATGAACGTCTAATTTGGAGTATGAGCAAACAATACTTTGGTTACTGGCACCGGCGGCAATGAATAAACAATCAGTAGAGAGGAGGAAGATGTTGAATGGATCATGGGGAAGTGCAGGTTTAATCCACAGTGGCTTTTAGATTCTAGATATAATACCGGTAGTTGGTTGATCATTATTAAAATCGGATCTGGTGTTTTTTTCGCCCACATAATGGGTGTGATGTTGGTCTTAATTTTCATGTAAGTGGTCTTAAAAGGTGGGGTCTTGGGGTAGTCAAACCTGGGGAGACCCTGGAAAGGCCGGAATAATTCTAACTGGATCTGATGCCGAGTCTGACGACAGCGACACAGAAGAGGAAGCGGCGTCTGTTTACCTCCAGAGGTCGTGGAGTTGTTCAGAAGTGACACCGAGGATGAAGAATTGAATGGATTTAGTGATTTTGAGTGAGATGGAGAGTTTGTTAAACTTGTTCTGTTCTGTTGTTTATGTTATAGTTTATCTGAAGAACTGTTCATATGTGACGTTAACCGTCTGTTGTTCTCTCTTCAATTGTTTTTACTAGAATTTGTCTTTCAAGTAGGGCTGGGTATCATTAAGAAGTTGCCGATACAATTCATACCACGTTACATAGGCCACGATGCAATACATATCTCAATACAGTGAGCTTTTGATTCGATACGATATATTTCAAATCAAATCGATAAGGTTCAATAAAAAATAAAGGCAAAATCATGTCTGTGACACTAAAAGTCTTTGTTAAACCACTTCTTGTGCAAAGTTCATATGAAACACAAACATTTTAATGATCAAAACAGTGAAAATGTCAAATGTGTCGCATAAACAAGTTTCCTTCCACTAAACAAGCAACAAAACTGTAGCTCTGTAACAAAATAATCTGGTAAAATATACCAAAAAAATACTCTTGGCGATATATCAATATAGCAGCCCACGATATCGATACTGTATCATCACATTAAACAATACGATATATCGATATTTTGATTTTTGCCACACCCCTACTTTAAAGATGAAATGTCAGTTCCTGGTCTCTGATTCATAAAATAAATTTCCTACAAAAAGTGCGACTTACATATGTTTTTCTTCTTCTTTACACATTTTTTGGCTGGTGCGACTTAAACTCCAGAGCGGCTTACAGTCCGAAAAATACGGTACATTACTCAGCCGTATCCCGCTGTAAACCACTAACATCTGTAGTGAATGTGTGAGGCCCAGTCCTGATGCAAACAGTTTAAAGCTGAGGTCAAACAAAGGAAACTAGTGTCCACACGCACATGACCCACACAGTCACACAGACACTGGGGCAAAGGATTCCCTCAAAATCATTCAAACGTTTGGCCCAAAGCGTTTTAGAGTAATGACAAATGGGTGATGTTTTCATAGCAATTATTAATTCAAAGCAAACTATCTCGAGTGGTTAAAATGGTCCTCAAAATGGCGTTTATAACAGAAAAAGCGAATCATGGGATGTGACTAAAATCGGTGAATAGACTCTAAACTATTTTGAGAGTTTAGTCACACAAACTTTTTCCACTTACAGGCCTTTAAGGAATTTAAAAACACGGAAGAGCACATCTGCATTTTGGCTCTTTAACACGGTTTTAAGTCTGTATCTGTGATTTCTCAAACAACTTTTTTTACGAAGAAACAACACTGAAACTAGAAAAATGCACTGAATTTTACTGAATTACGAACAGAAAAGTAAAACATTGCCCTTCACGATTTGAGATAAAACTTCAAAACTAAAAAAGATAGAGAACAAAGCAGCGACCTTGATACTGGCCTTGTTTGATTTAGCGTTCACTTTAATACAAAAATACAACTTGAAAAAAACCCAGTGAGCTCTAAAAATAGTTCAAATGAGACAATCAGGTGAAGAGTTTCAGTGAAAAAAAGAAGTCTAATAAAAAAATCTTTCAATTCGTAACTCCAGACCTCTGAGTCATGAGAGAGACAGACATAAGAAGGTTAGACCCAGACGAGGCTAATCCCAGGTTCACGAGCAGTGGGTGGTCGGGGGTAAAAATAGTCCAATAGTTTAAAGGTGCACTATGAAATTTCGTAGTTAAGAGAGTTCGTTACCTGCACTAATGCTGCGTTCTCTCGTGCTCAGGACTCAAGCTCGGGAAAATCGACCTCCACCTCGACGAGAAAGTGCAGTGGAACGTCCAGTCAAATCGGGGGTCTGAAACACAAATCGGGGTAGTTCAGATTAGACCGAGTCGGATGGATTTCGGAACATGTAAAAGTCAAACGGCCATTATTGAGTCGCTGACAGCTAACGTTATCTAACAGACTATTTATTAGCAGAAGCTCAGACGGTTTCACTTTGTGGAAACCGTCCGACCTCGCAGCATTAGGATTCGTTCGCTCGATGGTAGGAGGGCACTTTTTTTATTTAACCAATCGCTGCTATTCCCGTAGGAAGAAGGGCAATAACGTCTTTCCCCTTGATAAAATTCACTAAACATTCTCTTTGTTCCGGCTTTAAATCCTCAATCTCGGGAATCGTTCCCAACAGAGAATGTCTGTCTTCGTCTACATCCATCTCAACCGCTTTGTTTACTGTTGTGCTGTTCCACAAAAGGGACCCAGACAGACACTTGAGTTTGACGTCATGACTTCACAGCTCTTCGTGGATTGGCCGATGCACGGTCTACAACTTCCGGGGTTCTTGGAAATCGTCTAGCGTATTCTTATTCCTGACCTAGTCGCTGTAGAGAAATGACGTTGAGCGGAGGCACTAGGTCTCATGATACAATATCATCACGGTATGAACCTCACGGTACGATATTTATTGCGATATCATGGGGAAGCTCATGATATGGTGGGGAGGGTCATTATTAACGATGTAACAATATCCAAATCTCTCTGTACGATATTTTCATGATATACATCTCACAGTACGAGATTTATTGCGATATTTTGTGGAGGCTAACAAAACTGTGAATATGTGACTTTTTCCTCTTAAATACCTTGACAAGACTTAATCCAAAGAACTAAGACTTAAAAGTGCTTAGAACTGTTATTTCTTCTTGTCGTCTGCACTGAAATGGAGCAAAGGATCATGGCTATGTAGTTCCTCTGTCTTTTTTTAGCTATTGCTGCACCATAACTCTTAATTTAAGTAAAGAGAGTTGTAATTCGATATATTGTGATGGTCAATGATATTATTGTGAGAACTTTGACGATACAATATCACGATATTTCGGTTATTGTTACATCCTAGTATATTATATAGAACAGCCAGATATATAATTTATTTTGAATACATTTAGGTTTGGTATGGCACATATTTGTAGCCTATTTATGTTCAATTTTAAAGTTTTGCCTAAATTATCAATAACAAATTTTTTTTTGAGAGATAAATGCTGAAGAAATGCATAAATTATTTCAATATTGACCAAAATAATCGTGATTTTTTTTCCATAACTGAGCAGCTCTACTATTATCAGTTTCATTTTTGTATTGTAGCATCCATACTAAATGGGCCTCAGTACGAAGGAATAAAGAGTAAAGTGGGCTAAACCGGGACTAAAGTAGGACTAAACCAGGGTTAGCCGAGGATTAGATCAGGACTTAAGTTGGGACTTTATCAATAACAAACCAGCAGTGACTAAACTAGGACCAAACCAGTAAATATAATTGAATAAGAAGTAAACCAGGACTAAACCAGATCTAAACAAGAACTTCCAGTAGAACTAAAGCAGAACTAAATAAACTTTTCCAGCACCAAATAAGCTGTGAGTTGAAAATTGTAATTTAACTTCTTCCAAAATACAAATGTTGTCAAACTTATGATTCGCTGTGTATGATTGATTTTATTTGGGATAATATTGGATAAAACATGTGTGAAAAAGATCTAAGTGACATGTGCAGCCTCCATGTGTATCTTATATTGTTATATCTGTACTAATGCAGTTACAGTGTTTATCCCATAAGAGGCTTACGGCTCCTATAGACCGCTAATTATCTACAGACACCTCCATGCGACACGAGACCACCGTGTGTGTGTGTCTGTGTGTGTGTCTGTCTGTGTGTGTGTGCTCTTAACATGTGCTAAAGATATGTCTAAAAATAAAATGAACTCGGGGCGTGACAGGATCAGACTATTATAAGAAAAGAGTATTAAATTTGGCTTACAAACGTCAAATGAAAATTAGGATTATGACACAAGAGTATTCTGTACAAACTGTGAAAAACTAGTGTTGTTACCGATACTAAAGAATAGAATACTCAAAACAGATAACACAATAGGGTCTGACCGATATATCGCTTGGCTGATATGAGCACTTGGAGACATATCGGCTATGGGCCTAAATCTTTCCGATACGTGCCGATAGTCCACGTGGGCATGTTATGCCTCATTATAAAGCTTAAGACTCTCTAGATTATGTCCATTTAATCCAATTTACAGACAGATAAATGTCCTAATATGTGGCGCTGCATCAATACTTATCTGCAGAGTCATCTATCTGTGTTTGTGATGCCGTATTGTCCCTGAACGGACCACCAGAGCCACGACATTCACGTTCGCTTGTTTACACACTCAGCTGCTGTCAACATGCTGGGTTATATTATATTTACGGTCGATCGTTTTGAGTCAGAATTAAAAGGACACTTATTAGTGCAAGACTTGTGATCTGAGAGGAGCCTGTGTGAGCGGTTAGTGTTGCAAATGTGTCCGTTTTTGAAGCTACTTTTGGTTGTTTCTCATTGTTTAGCTGCTGTAGCTTCTTTCATCTTTAATTTTGTGATGATTATTTATGTTTTGATTAGTTTTTATCGTGATTTTAATGTATTACTTATTCTGTAGAGCACTTTGAATTACTTTGTGTACGAATTGTGCTATACAAATAAACTTGCCTTGCCTAGCTCCCCCACATTAACAGCCTGTCGTCTCTCACATTGTCCTAGTGTAAAGTGACTATAGTGTCTGTACATGTTACTGGACCTGCACTGATTGACTGAATGACCTGTGAACTGAGGTGTGAATGATCGGCATTTACACATATAATTAATTACCGGGGCGCGCATGCATTTACCGCTAAAGGCTGATAGCGGTAGTTTACTTTGTTTACAGGCTAGAATGTCATGCAAAAATGCCATTAGGCCGACCTATTGTGTTTAAATATGATGTAAAGAGACAGAATAACAATAAAAGTCGCCTAAACAAACCAAATTTAAAATCCAGTAGAGCCAGACCTAAGTTTTATAATCAACTGAAGATTTATCGGGAATTTTTACATCACTAAATATATCGGCTATCGGCAGCTCCAACTCCTGTTTTATCGGTATCATATCAGCCATTAAAAAAAAAATCCATATCGGTCGGCCCCTAATTTTCAACATTAAATCATAGTACTTTTTTTTATTCCCATGTGGTCTCATATCTGTCTAATCCCTCAGTAGTCCAGGTAGGTTCCATAATGGTCCATGGGGGTATACTATTCTACGTGATCATTCTAAAGATATTCAGGAATAGAAAAAGAGGCGTTCTGACAGTGAGCGGGGTCACCTCTCCACAGATCTGACCTGTAACTTCGTCTGGTTTGATCTCCATGAAGATAGAAATGTTTAATGCCATCATACTGTGAAACATTCAAGACAAAGCAATAACATCTTCATGGTGAAAAGCATTTGATGGACCCTCCACCAGAAAATAACTTATATTGTAGTAATTAAGTAAAAAAAGGTTTTGCTTATAGCAGACATTTATTTTAAAATATTTGACCGAAGACATACCATAATAAAAACAATATGAAATGTGATCTCAAATATACAGTTATAAAATGCATTAATGGGGGAATTTTTGCTTGTCATAGAAAATTAAGCTTTCAAACTGTAATTAGTCTTTTTTTTTCTTTTTTTCTCCAATATTCTTATAAATTTTCAGACAAAACTTTTTTCACATGAACAATTGACCACTTTAACACAGGTCAACATATAACCAAAAAAATAAATAAATAAATAACAGGCGAATTCACACACTCACACACACATTCACATATTCACTAAACAATGCAAACTTGCACAATACAATTTATCAGTCGCAGGTAAGTCAAAGATTCATATTCAGTGACCATATGAACTCTAAAAAAGAAAAATGGGTAGAGATAAATAAATAAATAGATAAATAAAAATAAAATATAAATAAATTAATTAAAAAATATAACATAAATAAATAAATAAATGAAGTAAAATAGGTAAATAAATAAAAAAATTATAATACCAACAATAATAAAAATAAATAAAAATTAAGTATTATTATTGTTATCATCACTGCCACCAATGCCGAACAATAACAATAACAGCAACAATATTATTATACATACACATCATTTCTATTTTTTCCCTTTGCTATAAATGTCAATCTTTCACGGCCAATAACTGTAATTAGTCTTTTATTTTAATTAACCATGACTTCACGTATTTGAACTCTGAGCTCTGGACGTCAAGTTATTGTGCGTAACGTGATCACAATGAATCCTTGTCAGTTCTGAAAAACATGACGTAGTGTCTTAATCTGAAGCCTGCATGTTGTTATCACTGTGCGTTCAGAAAGAGTGTTTTTGTTCTAAAAATACTCCACACTTGAGGCAGTCTGCTCCCGTTCGCTCCAGATCAATGTCTGCTTCAGTAAAGGCAATCGCTCTGGCCTGTCTGTGCTGTGATGTGACGTGAGCTACAAGTCAGATCTGCGCAGAGGCGAGTCCGCTGCGTGTTTTTGAAGGTGTTTCTGAGCGATGAAAAAACAATGCAATTGAACCAGGACTAAAATAGGACTAAACTAGGGTTAAAGGGTTAAAACGTTTTGTTAGGGGGTCCATCACCTGCTTGTTTCTATCGATACGTCATTGCTCTGTCTGGAATGTTCCACAGTGTGACTTTAAACAGCTCTACTTTAGATTTATTCATTTACAGGTGGTTTTATAGCTCAAAAATACCAAGAAAAATAAACATTCTGACTGTGAGCGGGGTCGCCTCTCCACAGATCTGACCTGCAACTTGGTCTGGTTCAGTCTCCATGAAGACGGAAAACTGTGAAACGGACCCTCCACTAGAAAAGCTACACAATGCACCTTTAACAGGACTTGTCAGAACCAAGCCAGCTGTGAATTATGTAAGACCAGTGAGTAAGAATAAACCAGGACTAAACCAGAACTAAACCAGGACTAAACAGGA